GGGACAGAATTATAAAGGAATAATTATTATTATTTAAGAGAGGAGTATAGTGTCACTGTATAAATCTGGCGGTTTACAAACATTCAACTGGGGTTTAGCCTTCCATGAAGAGAGTACTGACTTGCTGTAGAGTGTTGCTATCAAAACACCATCTCATTAAACAAAGACCAAAGAAAAACAACAAAGAGATGTGTCAGTCTGTGAAGCAACCAGCCTTCAACATCCAGATGTGAACCTCAAAAAAGAGGTCTCATATTTGACTTGTGTGTTATTTTTGGAAGGATGATTACCTTTACCAATGTTAAAAACCAAGAACTCCTGGAATGCCCAAAGAGGAATTCAAACTGGGGTTATTTCCATCATCGAATTGGATTTGTAAATAAAGTACAAAAGAAAGAGGGATGGTGCAGTGAATTGCACTTAGCCTGCCACAAAATGGAACATGCTGTGTCTTGGGTCTGTGTTTCAACTCCTCCTTCGTGTTTTCAGAGGGGAAAGCTATTGCTTTGATTTAGGGAAGGACAGCTTAGAAGGAGAGCATGTTCGTATAACTTTCACTAAACCAGCTGGACTCGCACTTCAAGCTTTAAAGTCATTATGCACGGTGGAGCGACGTGAAATCTTAGTAGCCCTGAAGTCAGCTATGCCGTGAAGTGAGACTCTGAAATGCACATTGTGCATGATGATGGTCTGTTGAGGCGAAATAATTCACATTTATGCAATAATAGTAGAATTTGCCATTTCAAAAATGTAAACTTAAATAAAACTACTAAGAAAGGGGAGGTGAGGATGTGGCTGATGGATAAGAATAGATGTCATCATCCCTTACCAGCCTGATTGGTGGTGATGTCTATGGAGACATGCTGGGCAGGGTACGGGCTCTTATTGCTCACTCCATTAACAGCCTGTATCTCAAAGCTGTAGAGGGTGTGAGCCCATAGGTTGCTGATGAACACCCTGGTCTCAGTCAGACCCAGTTGTCGGGGGACGAAGTCCACGTTGTCGTCGCAGTGGGAGCAGGACCGCCGGTCAGCCCGGCACTTCTTGCAAACTATGTTGTAGACGACATCATCGCGGCCACCTGTCTCCCTGGGAGAATGCCACTCCAGGATCACAGAGGTTTCGTTCACAATGGAGATCACATTCCTCGGGCTAGATGGGACACCTGTAGACACGCAGAGAGATGTCAGCCAGATTCCATTGTAGCTAGGGTCATTTACCTTTACAACTACGTTTATATTGTATATCAGAAAAGGTTTTATTATAAAGGCAATCTGCCATGATCCTCAAAGCAAAATGCAATGCTTGTCAAGAAAAAAGGAAACTGTTTCATAAATCTGCCTGCTGTTAGGTCAGTTTAGTCAATTTACAACCCTGTAATAAATATGTGTTGTTGTCCAAGAGCAACTCGTCTTTTTCGTCTTTTTCTCCATCTTCAGCACAATTGGAATGCTAATTTATTCCATTCACACCCTGAGAGATCATACAGCGAAACGTTTGTGTCTATCAAACATTGGTTATTTAGCAAAATGCAGTGTTGCATGGAGTATTCTTATCCATGTGGCTCTGGAGATTCACGCTCCCATTCACTCCCTCATAGCCCGCAGCTGGAGCAGAACCTCAAAGACGATACTCAGAAGGAAATCAAGAAATAATAAAACTATTGTTTTGCTTGAGTGGTGGCTTAATATTAGGGTTCAGAAAAGTGGCTAGTTCAGCCTCCCGCAATTGGAGCACAATTCTTTAAGAGTTAAAATCTGCACAAATGGCAGTGTAAAATTTTGCTTAGCTGAGACTCTGTGTCCCTCCTGCTGCTCAGAGGCAGCTCTTTCTTTTCAGACACTGCCGATAAAGCAGAAGCTTTCCAAAGCCCTTAGTCAATGCTGCTTAGGTTAAGTGAGGCTGCCCTGTAGAGCTGATCTGGTACCAATTCATCCTCCATAAAGCCTGACCTTTATCATTAAAAGAGAAGTTTAACTGACCCACTATTAGATCCATGACTACTGTGAAACTAAAAATCTAGAGACCCTTTGAAGAATGACAACTCTCTAACATGCTGTATGCCTGTTCCTCTTCTCCTTTCTTTTTACCCATTAAAAAAATAACACAACAAGGGGAATACACAAAGATTTTTAGGTATATTATGATACAGCACTTTCCCATTTCTGTGGGCATAGGGCAGATAGTTACTTCAGTCAACACAGACACAATTAATCATTGTTGCTGCAAAGCCATGTGGGATAGCCCCGGGGAGCTGGGACAAAGCGGCAGAACACACAAGGGTGAGGGAACGGCACTGTTACTGCTGCGACCTCAGCTCAGCGGCTCAACAACAGAGAGGTCAGTGACAGGAAGGGCGTGACCTCCCTAGTGTGATTATTATGGTCTGGCTGAGAGGAAAGCTAGTGCTCCAGATACATGGTCAAATGGCACTTACTTAATTTGATCCTTGGACGCTACCTGATGTTTTTTTTATGTGGAGAGTAAATATGGCGAAAAAGAGTGTGTGCTGGTAGGAACTGGCCATATGAGGGAATTGGCAGCACACTTTAGCTTTTCCCCTTGGGGACTGCACAGTAGGCACTTCATATGTTACTCACACCGCTTGTATCCAGTGTATCATCCATCACATACATGCACTCTCCCCCAAACTTGCATCACAAAAGCAATGCACATCTGCTCATGTGGAAAATGCATTTGACACAAACACACATGCCTGAACTATCTGCTTCTGTGTACTTATGTCTGCACTGTCTGTATCAATGTATTCATACAACGGTGGAAGGAATACATATTTCCTGGTTGAGGTGTGAACTAGGCGTCACACTCCTTCGTCCCAATTACAACCAAGCTCCACATATGCAGGGAGGGCAGAAGAAATGAGAAGTGACTGCCACTTAACCAATGATTTGCAGACTATTACTGCAGCCTAAGGCTGTTTTAATTTGCCATAGGATTTAATTTGTTGAGAATGTTACTTACAGGTTCTTAGCTGGCATTCATTTAGCTATGCCAGTCAGATTTGTTTGTGCTCACATAGATGTTGCTTTCACAAAAATTATAGGAGTAAAACACCATCTACAAGCACCTCATGTGCTCTTTGTGACATATACTGTATCACAGCACAGTTAGGGCTCTATTTTAATAGTGCAATCACAACAATCGGTGCAAAGAGTCAGGTCATTTGCACAAGGACAATGAGGACGAATCAATGCACGTGTTATTTTTATTCAGTATGGGCAATTGCATTATGCACAAAAAGGTTTGGTGAAGGAGAATGCAAATAGCACTCATGCAGTGATGAACCATATCACCTCAACCAGTCATATTATCTGTTTCATACCCTTTAAACAGCTGTGGCAATCATAGGGGGACATGAAGATAATGGCAAACCAAATGGACAGAATAGTGCAGACCAGCTACTGCAAGTAGGAAATCAATGTAGTTGTCTAGAAAGCACAGAACAGTAAGGCAGAGATACACAGAAACGCAAACAGGGAGCCAGATGTTGTGCCTTTTTAAGTTTAATTTGTTGAAATGGTAAAAGCCTGATCATAATGCACATTTAAGACAATAAATGGCATTAGTATTTTGTGCAGTTACTAAGGACAAACAATTTAGACTAATAAGAACATTTTATAAAGTTTGCTGGCTGCTTTGGTCTGATTTGCTCATGTGATTAATAAGGTTGTACTCAATTAGATTCGCTTCTGTTTACATGCAACAACAGTGCCATTGCTGCCAAAACTTTGAGTCAAGGAATAGTCTGTGTAAGCTGTTTACATGGTTACATAAACTGACAATACCCCATGCTAATCCTTTTTACATGACTATCTAGAGAGAGTTGGGGATATTTTTTTTATGTTTCTTGAGACACTCTCTTACACTGAACTAAAATATAGCTGTAATAATCCTGCTGTTACTCATCATATTGTAATAAAACATGCACTTTAAACCTAATGATCTGCAAACATAAATTACTCATTGTGTGTCTAATTTATGAATACCATAGGTCTGTTTTGATTGAAATACAATTTTTTTTAGAGAATACCAACATAGTGTAACAGTCGAAATTGTGAAATGTGTCTTGAAAATACTGCTTTGCCTAAATACGAGAGAAATGTCACCTGCTGTGAATGGTTATTGAGTCCCTGTTTTTCTTCTGCCTCTCAACTCAAGTGTAACGTTTGGATTATATGTGGCCTCTTTTTTGTTTATGTATGATACAATAGAATCCATACAACTGGGCTTGATAAGGTTAATGTCTTAGTAATAAACTACAAGTATTGAGGAAAAGCCCAGTACCAGCGAAGCTATGACTTTATGATGTCTCGTTTTCCCCTCACTCAAAGCTAACATTAGCTCAACCAAGAAACACTGACCCAAACTGTTACAATAGTCTTCTATGCAGAGGCATATAACACCCATCTTGTACCACAACTTAGCTGTACGGGGTATGAAAATACTAATCAAATGGACAAAGGTAATTTCAAGGTCAGGAAAATAACATGTAGTAGCAGTGCATATACTAGTCTTTGCACCAGCAAAAGCAAAACCAAAATGAGCTAATGGTTTGGTTTCAAGTATGTACGGGCAAATGTGCCTTTGTGTGCCAGCTGGAGTTGGGAAATAAAAGTAGAGGTAGAGCTCTTTTAAACTAAAACTTTGAATACGTATACATCCCCATGATAATCTGCCATGTTCTGTATGTGTAATTGTAATATGCTACCCTATACTGTATCTTTAACTCACCTGGACAAGTAAAAACGAAATTCAGTAATATCATGCAGTGGATTATCTTCAAAATTATGATAAATTGTACAATGCTACTTCCTATGTCTTCCACGTACATACAGTACATGTATGATAAAGTACTCAGAGGGACTGTCTGACTCATGGCTAGTCACAGTGAGTAGGATTTAAGGTGCCACAGCCTAGTTTTCTCCCTCAGCTGCTAATATAAAGAGTGCCCAAAATAAACACTTCTGCACATTGTTTACTCATCCACCCTTTGAATGGTCTGAGGCTGACGCTTCTCTTCTTTCAAACTGTTTGTTTTTATGATGTGAAACAGGCCTTGAGGGACCAACAGAAGGTCCCTGTGTGGAGATACTGATCACAGCCAGAGGAGTTGGGAGAAAGAAAGAAGGGTTGTGTGGGTTGGTGAGACATGAAATAAAACATGTTATAAGGACCAATACTGTTTGCTGAGAGACTGAGGGAGTCGTAGATAGACTGTGATATTGTGTATGTCAGCATACAATGCAGCTTGGGAGATTTGGGTACATAATGACTACATAATGACTTATCTGAGGGGACACAATATGGCTATGCAGAAGCTTTTCTTTAACTGAGTAAAGGATCATCTACGCACCCACATTACTCTCTACAGTAAGTCCAAATGTTGAATTACCTTGACATCCATAAAGCAGTAGATGTGAAAAAGAGACTGGTATAATTTGAACCTGTGCATGCATGTTGCACATTAGTCTGGAGTATTATTTCCTCCTAGTCAGTACAGGGATTAGAATAGGCCAGACAATTACCTTGACTTGGGTCCATTTACTACTGCATTACTGAGAGAGGAAACTGGCCAGCTGACTGCTGTGGGAAGCGCCCTCAACTGACTCTAGAACTGACAATAGAGTTGATGTGGTGAAAAGAACAGAATATTTATGCACTTTGATGGCTCACTCCTCTTTCTCTTTGAAAACAGAACAAGGAGAGAAGAGAGATGGTGAATAGTAGAGCAAAGAAGAAAAAAAAATCTAAATGGGATGATGAGGAGAATGGAAAATCAGATAAGCCTGTCCCTTCAGTCAGGAATTTTGATGGGTTTTGTTTGTGTTATGAGGCACAGACAGTGTTTGACAGGGCTCAAGGAGATTTTCAGGGGACAGGCCACAGATGTGAGTATTGAGTGGGAGCCACAGGATTCAGGGCCAATGTGGTACAGATCAGGAATGTAGAAACCCATCAGAACCATCCTATTTTCCTTCTCTAACCCTATATTTATGTTCATCCAATTACATTCCAAAGATTTTCCTTGTGAATTGATTGGTGGCTGGCAGTGGTGGTTTCCAAGATGTAAACATGCACATACAGCATGTTTTTGCCATAACATCGTATTGAGTCTCACTGGGACTCTCTCATAAGACACAGACAGGTCTTTTAATCCATCATTTCTTCTAAATTCAGACCAAACCCTCAAATATACAGATTCCACTCTTAGTTTGTCACATCCCTCCCACTGTGGTAATGGATTTTTTTTTCTATCTATCTTTGTCACTAGTCCTTCCCTCCCATCATTCCCTTCCCTTCTTCGCTATTCTTCACACCATGATGCTCCATCATTGCATCCTTTCTCCCCTACGGACCAATCAGTGCTGGTTTCACCGTCTGACTCCCCTCAGTTACCACTCAGCTTGTCATTCCCCTCCTCTGACTCACACAATGAGAGAAACCTACTGGCCCAGCATTCTGAAACTGGCTGACCTCCCCCACCACACCATTCTCACATGTACGCATTCATTCTTTTTCACACATGCACACACCCACGGGGAGGTATGTGTACGTCAGACTGGGGCCTCAAGCCTGAAGAAGGGACCAAGAGGGGATGCCACACAATGCAAACCACTGTCCCTAAGAGTACTCTGCTGGAAAGCCAAGCTGAGAGGAGTGGGCTTCACACTGCGAGACAGAACACTTGGTGTTCCTCCCCTCAGGCAAGGCTGGAGTCAGCACAAGACAGAAGATTGGGATAAAGGAGGGGCAGGAGGTGGAGGAGTAGTTTGAAGTGCATCCCAGGCTTGGCATATCCCTAAGGGAAAAAGAGGGGGGCGTATAGAGTGGAGCCCCCCGCTGACAGAGCCGAGCGCTGGACAATCCATCTGCAAGCTAATCAGACTGATCTGGAGCACACAGGGACCCGCGCCTGTGACGCCGGCAAGTAACGCTAAAGCTAGAGCTTCTGCTGCTACAGATTGGCCTGATTTAAGCTACTCTAGCAGTGCTCTTATCAGGACCTGAAGTATTAAAGAGATTCTTACTGGGATGATCTTACTGCCCCCCCTACTGAGATCTAGGGCACCCTGAGCATCAAGCTCTGCTGCTACTGTATGGTTCTACCTTCAGAGAAGGCTTTGAATATGCAATAGGCTGTCGCAAAAGTTAACACATACTGAGGAGGAATTAAAGTTGGTTTTAGATGTTAATGTTAAAAGGAGTGGTTGAAAACAAAATTCTCAGTAGGATATTTTAAATGCATGCATGGGGCATAAAAGCATTTTTCAAAGAATCGGGATACGTTCTCTTGTAATTAATATTTTACTTCATAGTGTACTATAATTTTGATTGTAGTAGTGGGCAATTTTTTCTTTTTTTTAACTTATGAACATGTAACTGGGTACCTAGGGTGTGTTATCATTAAAAACCAAAATTATTCTTGCCTAAATGTTAAGATATTTAGACAATTGAAGTTGTACTGAGCATGACAGAAAATCAGAGTGTGAAGCGGAGGAAAAAAGAACAAAAGTGACAGAGAAGATAAGACCAGAAAGGAAGTGGTGTGATTGAAAGCAGAACAAAAATTAACCCAGGCTGCATGTGGAAACTGAACACCAACAAGGGGGATCTGTTCAAGAAGCTCCACTGGGGAGCTGTTGTGGAGATTGCTTGGGGAAAATTCAAGGCCTCAAGGTAGAGGCAGATGCTATACTTGATGGAGCGTTCACTAATTCACCAGAGAGCTATGTAGTATATCATGGGAGGGCGGAGAAAGCTCAAGGTGAAAGTAGGGTGTCATCCGTTGAGAACATCCAAAGCCTAAAGGTGTGGATGGCTACACTTGGGAAGCGTTCAAACTGTTAGACAGACAGCAATGCTGCATTGGGGTTCCTCTGTAGCTTTAAGGCACTTAATTCAAAGTTATAAAAAGGGAAAAATTGCAAAAGAAGCACATTCAATACACGTTTTAGCTGTGAAGGCTACACTATGCAGCTGCTAACCGATTAGGGAAGGAGTGTGGTCCTGAGCCCATTGCTAAGGCCAATTAACCAGGTCTATGTGAATAAATCAGCACTAAATGAATACATAACCACACCAATAATGCTTCAACGTCTGCTGTTGTAGGACAACAAACCATTAAGACACTCCCTAGTGGCAGCGAAGGAGGAGAGGTAAACAAACTTTTTGGGGTCTAACAGTGCTCTCCTTCTGTGTAACCGTGTGTCAGCAGGGACGGCAGGAAGGCTTAGCATATTGCTTTAACATCATATTAAGATAACTCTGATGCTGTGAGAGGCCTTATTGGATCTCCAGCGGATAACGGTAGGACAGTGTCGAAGCTTCGCAGCATCTGCCTGAGTAATTAGGACTGCAGGGGATGATAGCAGACAGAAAGACAGAACAACAGCAAGAAAGAGAGACAGAGAGAGGGAGATAACTAAGAGGAAGCTCATTGGCGCAGTGATGGAGACGTCAATGATGGAAACCCTGCAATGTGATTATTATGACCAGACTGAGAAGACAACTCGGGCTCTGGATACATGCTCATTTAAATGCTACTACATGTGCCAGTTTGATGACAGTAAGAAAGAGACAGAAGGAATGAGATAGAAAAAAGAAATCTCTACACTGTCGTTATGAAAATATAGTGGCTCATATGCATGGCCAGTGTATAAAGTATTGATGTCCCATACTATTATACTAAAATGGATAATGCATACATAGATATGCATATTACATGTGCTTGTCATACAAGAATGTAAGTGTGTGACAGTGTTAGGGTGTGTATGTCATGTCATGTACAATATACTCACTAGTGCAAGGTTCATTCGGCTGATCAGCATCTCCACGGTAGTAGCCATTGCGGCACACACAGATGGTGGCGGCCTCAGCTGTGGAGCGGCTGTTAGGAGGGCACTGTAGACACAGACCTGGACCCTGGGTCGACTTGAAAGTTCCCGGAGGGCAGGCTGCAAGATCAGAAAAACAATGTCAGACAATGAATGGAAAAAAATAAATAAATCCACAAGCAAATACATGACCTAGGCATCTGGGTCTGATTTCCTACGTACTACAAATAGTCCCACAGATAACCCTAATAACACCACTATTTTTCATTTTCACAATATTCTTCTTGTGTGGATTAAAATAATGATATATAATTTGCTAATTAGTGAGCTTTAGAGGTTCTGGGGAGGGTTGATTTTGTTACCTTTGGACAGAGCTAGGCTAGCTCGAAATTAGAATGGTATTAATCTTCTCATCTAGGTGCTGTTGGACAATTACTGAGCGTCTTTGATAAATTAATGGTAGTGTTTGCATTGTGGTGGTAACCATTGGCATTTGTTGGCCATTTTCAGCACATATTCTGCCATTTCAGCATGTTAAATCAACAGCTGAGGAAGTGTCTGACAGCAAAGTAGCAATTTTACTGGGTTCGCCGTTATTTTTCACCTCCACTGTTTCTTTTCTCCTTCCACAAGCAAAAGACCAAGCTGACAACACTGGTGTAAAGTAAAGAAATGAAAAGCAAAGAAAAACTTCTATAGTGCCAGTTGCAACATTAGGAATACAGCCTGCCGACTATATCTTCTCCCTGAGGCAGAGAACATACAGGCCTGTCAGTCGTTAGCTGGCAATCAGCTGTAGCAATTGCAGTGCGTTCAAGTATAAATTTTACAAATTTAACAGAAGACATGTGGCAACGTGAGGCAACGTCATTGGTGGTTTGTGGAGGTTGGCTTGATGTGTTTGACTCCTAAATTCTAAAGGCCACGGTGGAGGACAAAGATTATTGTGGCTGATATCACTGCGCCTAAGTCCAGGCAATAACCTAATCCATTTACCTTCATATCCCAAAAGAATACAAAGCTGTGGAGTTTCTGTGCTGTGTGGAAGGATTTACTGACTATAATAACCATGATAAATGTCTAATATTTTAGCAGGCTTACAGATGGGGGAGGAAACTGTGGTGCCGCTGCACTCCAGAGGGGGAGGGGTTATAAATTTAATGGGACAAGCATCTTACAGTTTCTCCAGCTGCGTCTATTTGCCTGAGTAAAAGATTGTAAAGGCTTGACTGCGGCTGAAAAATGTGATGTAGTTATATTCCTTTTCTCACAGAAACTGTCACAGCAGTTTTCGGGCAGTATGTAAAAGGGAAAAAGAAAGAATCTGCAGCCAAGATATATATCAAGAATGAAATGTTTCATGCAAGGTCTGCGCTAAATTACAAGACTTTATCAGGTAAACAAAATGATGAGCCATTGGTTAAGTGTTTCAGATAAAAGCAAAAGAAATCGGTTCAATCAATACTGAATTTGCTTACCACATAATGGTTCTATTGTATCTGACTAAGAGCCCACTATTCCAATATTTATGAAGAGCTTGGTAAATGGAGAGTTATTTAAAGCAATAATGACCAAGGAGTTGGTCACATTACTCCTTACTGCTGGGTCAAACAATGGAGAACATAGCACAGTAGCTACAGTGTGTGAGAAAAACCCTTTAGACCTTTGTGTCAACAGGCTTTTAAGATTTAATTAAAACATTTTATGCTTCATTAAAAATTCACTGAGAGGCTGGGTTTGGAAGCTGGAGTCTACTTTATTTCACTGTAAAAAGGGCAGGTTCCTGTTTTTATGAGTCTTCCATTCATACCATTCAGCCTGCCTCTCTGATGGGCTATTAGTGGAGGATAGAGAGATAAAGAAAGAAAGCAGGTGAAGGAGAAACAGGAGGCATCATGAACACACACAACTCAAGCTGCTCTCCCATCTCCTCCTGGAGGAGGCTGACAGACTCACCAGAGGCTAACTGACTGACCTCATGTCTGGTCACACAACACTGTCCACACACAGCCAGACCATCACACAATCTCTCTCTCACACACACACACAACCAGACTACAACAACCACAAACAGCTTATAAAACAACCCTAGGAGCTGTAAGGCAGATTGCAGCTGTGATGCACAAGGACATCCCAGTGAGCAAAACACATTGCTATGCTGTGGATGCTCCAGAGTTGTCTTGAAACTAAAGATGCATGTATGGAGGAATATAAAGAGTTGTATAGGGTTGCAAGAGTACAGTAAAGGTAATGAAGTTTCTATAGGGGAGTGTGAGCTTCTACTTCAGCGTGTGGTAGTGGAGGTTTGCCACCTCTCTTGACTTGTAATACACAGATGTCATGTGTGAGAATATCAACCTCCCTCCAATACAAGAACATTGAGACTCTTAAAAATCCTCCCTGGCCATATGGGGAAGCACAAACCAGCTGCAGAGCCATTTTATAAAGCAATAACTTCCAAAGATATCAGAGATTACAAGACGATAAAGCACGGATCAAAAATTCATTTTCAGCAAGAGAGGGGGAGAGAACTTATGTGTCATCATCTTTGCTGTATAAAATTCATACATCAGGGTGAGCAAAGAACCACACGCATGCACATGGCCATCTCACACACACACACACGCAAGCTTCAAATCTATTGCCCTGACTCTTATGAAAAGGGATCACAATAAGTTGTTCAGTGTGTGTTTAATGGGGTGTGAGCAGAATATGTGCGTCAGGTTCTGCCTTCGGGTTGTGTGTTTACAGATAGAGAGTAGCTAGCATGGACACTCATAAATGGGCAAAAGTGAAGAGAGGAGCAGGGGAGGCTGTGCTGAATCAGCCGTCTGCAATAGCTGTGCAGCAAAAGTGCCTCGAGGCAAACTTGTGAGCCCAAGAATGTATATATACACACACTCTTATACTCATGTACACACTCACTCAAATAAACACACACACCCTGAGAAACACTCCTGTATTGGCATCAATGCTATCCTTACCTCCAGAATACATTTCCTGAACTGATTTACAGAGTAACACATGTAACCACTGCTGACCCCATTAAATGAAATGGTGCAGACATATTTTCCGCCACTTGACTAGCATATGTTCTAGAGAACCTGAGATAATTTAATGCCTCTCCTTGGACAACTGAAGACGCTGCAATCAGCATTACAGGAGGGAAGATAAGTGACAGCCAGGCAAAAACAAACAGGCAGCAACACTTCACACCCAGCACGGGATGAATGTCCGTCTAGATTATAACTCCTACCTTGGAGCTGAGGCTCTTTCGCTAATTGACACATAATATGTGCATGAATACTAGCATTAAACTCATTAATTAGCTGCTCACTGATCTGCCTCAGAGAGAGGGAGGAAGAAACCAATATGGGTGAAGACAGAGAAAGAGAGAATGAGAAAGTGATTTGAACAATGTTATCAAACCCTCAGAGGTCTCGTTCTAAGGGCGGGCAGCAGTGGGCTGCATAGCGTTATGCTTCATGAATTTTGGAGCTGAGCCCAAAGTCTTTTCTCCTGATTTGTGAATATTTAGATTGGAGGAGGCCAGGAGTTCCTGTCCCGCAGAAAGAAAAAGCACATAGACCCATCACTCATCAAATGTGTTGGTTTTCGGGGGACAGGAGGGGATAGAACATTAGATCAACAAGCAATTAGTCTCCCCAGTGGGAGAATAACCCACAACTGAACTGACTCCATGCAAAAAACAAAACATTCCTCCCTTTCAAGTGGTCTCTACAGGATTCTCTCTGCATTGTTCTCCCCTTCTCTCCTTCTCACTTCTTCTCTGCCCTCACATCTTTTTTGTCTGTCCCACCGGTAATGAATTGCTCTTTCCCTTCTCCCACCTTTCTTCCCCTTGTTGCTTTCTTGCCTTGATTGACAGGTTTGAATCCTTGTTAAGGTTGGCTGTCTTTCTCTCTTTCTCCCGTTCTGTCTCCAGCTCACTCTGCAGTGGGTTGACAGAGGTATGGCAGCTGTGGATCACTGCTCGCTACTCATCACAGTCTAACTGTGATGACCTCATGTCACAGCAAGCCTGACCGGGAGAGACAAGATGATGATCTCTTCACTGTCAGTCATCTTCCCAGCAGGTACTCTCCCTCTTTTACTGATAATGACAACAATCTTAATCTGGATGTAGCTCAAAGACAAGCATGTAGACCAACTTTGTATACACACACATTTCCAAATCCCAAGTTAATTTGGAGAAAAGTTTGATCTTCTCTCTGCTCAACAGTGATGTATTGATTGGCCAGGACAAGTGCCACATGAGGAGATTAGCAATATGAGGTAGTCTCTGTGAGCAAGCTTTAACAATGGCTGATGTGCAGAGCGGGGAGTTAGTGCTCAGAAGTTATAGACAAAACAATGTGTATGTTGAGCGTATGATATAGTGCACATTGCAGGCAATACATCATACATGGAAGCACACTGGCACAGTGTCACATATGGTGCAAGAGTTTAGAACGTGCAGTTGCAGGATGTATATAGTCCATCAAAATCTTAGGTAATTGGAGACATGGAATTTATGGAGGCAGTGTAGTAAGAATTACACTAGCTTGTTATGCCAGCATTACCAGGTGTGTGTGTGTGATAAAATGGAAATATACAGTTACGGGTTGCAGCAAGCCGATGCAAAGGATTAGATGGGTTTGGAAATGGCTTGCCTATACTCAAACCCAATCAATGTTATAGTACACTAAGTCCTCCCTTGGCTTTTGCTTTGGCATCAAGTATGTATGAGCTTTCAACCACCAGAAATGGCTTGGCAGCAAGTTGTCGAAAGATACAGTCAAACATATATGCAGCATTTGATGTGGATAGGTACAATTTCTCCAGCACTCCAATATTAACTGCTAGCACCCAAGTTAAGCACATTTAAGTTATGACTCATGTGAAGACATTTTCTTTTTATAAAACACTTGCCTAAAGAAAGCCACGTATTTTTCCCCCAAAATATATACACAGTCTTCTGGAACAAAAAAACTTCAAGAATACATTCAAAAACAGTTTCAGCTTAAAAATACTCACTCTGCTTGTCTGAGGTTTTGTGCAGATTGGGTGTGTGACCCACGGAAGGGCGCAAGTTGTGAGTTAGTCTCAATGACCAATAA